CTCGTTGAGTTGACGGATTTGAATCATCTTTTTATAGCTTTTGAAAACTACCTTTTGATATTTTGAATTTTTAAGCCACATTTTTGATATTTTGAATCTATAAGCCAAATCTTTTGTAGTAAGTTTGGGTTACACATCATCATAATCTAATTACCCATGAAGAATATAATTATGTCTTGATAGGATCAATTTTGCAAGAATTTTTGTATGTTTGCATCTTATTTTTAGAATAATTGAGTTAGGGTTAGGTAATGAATCTACTTTGAAATTACTTAATTTGAATGGATTTTTTAAAATTTAAATGTACCTTTCTTAGCCATTTATTTTTTCATTGAAACCTGTAAGCTCGATTTAGAAAAACTTATGAAAGTTGAATACAATTTGTAAGATTTAGCTCGAGTAGTACTAGCGCTGCTCCTTTTGGTTGTTATTTACACAAATAATTTTGTTGCATTTCTCGTAGTGCATAATATAAGTTTGCTTCCTTTCCTTTTGAAAGAGATGTGATTGGATTTAGAATTGAAATTTTGATATCAATTGAAAAAAAAGTACACAAAACTATTAGCTCATAAGCTAAAATATGATTGCTCATCAGTTATTTTTTGTTTGCTTAGCAGGATTATATTTTTATGATAATCTTTATTAAGTGAGGCTTTCCTTCTATTTGAGGGAAACATTATTCTATTGGAAGAAAAAACTTGTGACATTGTGGAGGTAAGTATAAATTTGTAAACAATAGACTAAAAAAGAATTCGAATATAAAATTAACAACAGCAGCAACGACAAGCCTTTATCCCACTATGTGGGGTTGGCTACATGAATCTTTTTTCTCCATTGCGTCCAATTAAATGTCATATTTTCATTTAATTCTAATAGGTTAAGACCATTTTTTATATAATATGCCAAGTCCTTTTAGGTCTACCTCTGCCTTTCTTAACATAAGTCGAATAAAAAACATCTAGTCTCCTACCAAGATCATCTGTTGGTTGTCGTTTAATGTGACCAAATCATCTAAGATCACTTTTAATCTTTTCTGCCATTGGAGCTACACCAACCCTATCATGGATATATTCATTTAGCATTTGGTCTACATAAGCATTCTCATCTCAACAACACTTAACTTTGTTTTATGCTTCTCTTTTAAAGGCCAACATTCCGTGCCATAAAACATTGCACGTTTCCCCATCATCTTGCAAAGTTTTCCTTTCAATCTAAGCGGTATTTTTCTTTTACACAATACGCCCGTTGCGCTCCACTATTCTAATCAACCAACTTGAATTCTACTAATAACATCCCCATCTTTATTACCATCACTTTGAATATAACATTAAGTATCATGATAAAATTAGTAAATGTTGTAATGAAAATTCTAATCATTCTAATAAATTTTTTTAGATTCATGAAATCTTCTTTGATTTTGAGATTTTATATCCTTTTTTTTTTAGATTTTAACAAAAAAAAAAAAAAAAAAAAAAAAAAAAATCAAATGACCACTATCCACTTAAAGCAGAATATCAATTAAAAATTTGATTAAAAAATTGTTTTTGAAGTCTACAAAAGCGAGGGTGCAAAGCTTACATTTTACATAGAGGAGACACATCCTGATACAATTCCGTGGATCAGGAAAAGAACCATCATCGAATAATAGACTAATGGATTGAGAATCAATGAGGAGATTGTTTAACCACATTCACCCAAAGAACTGTTATGGAGAAGGACAAACTTGCAGGCCTCGTGTGCAAAAAGATTAGATAGGGATAGGGTTTGCTTAGGTGAAGAAATGCAGAATTAGTAGATTTAAGTTAATAAATTGAATATTTTTTGAAATAATTTTGATTTTAGATTTTTGATTAACGATGATTAAAATGGAAAAAATTGAATTAGGTAATATTTAAAAATTAGAACGTATTTGATGCTTCATTGGTCGAATCATTTGTTTCTTCCAATTTTCATCAGTTTGTTGTTTTGGAAGTCTTAATTGGTTGGGTGATTTTTTTAATAAAAAAATTATTTTCGAAGACTGCAAAAAACTGAGGGTGCGAAGCTTACATTTTACATAGAGGAGACGCATCCTGATACAATTCCGTGGACCCAGAGAAGAATTAATGTCAAATAATAGACTAATGGATAGAAAATCATCGAGGAGATTGGTTAGCCACATTCACCCAAAGAATTGTTATGGAGAGGGACAAACTTGCAGTCCTCATGTGCGAAAGGATTCAAGATAGGGATAGGGTTTGCTTTGGTTAAGAAATGCAGAATTAGGAGATTTAAGTTAATAATTTTAATAAATTTAATATTTTTATTGAAATAATTTTCATTTTGGATCTTTGATCAACGATGATTAAAATGGAAAAAATTGAATCCTATAATATTTAAAAATTAGAACAAATTTGATGCTTCATTGGTCGAATCATTTTCCGATTTTCGTCAGTTTGATGCGAAGAAAGTTTTAATTGGCTGGGTGATTGGTTCACAGTCTTAATGGTCAAAGTGGCTGGTTTAGGCCGATATTAATGACTTTTGTTACTATGACCTTTTCATTATTTTAAAATACTGTTTTAACTTTTTAAATATTTTCTTTTCATTGTTAGCGAACAACTAAGTCCTTTTTTACATTGGAAGCAATTATTTTACATTTAGGTCGAGATGCACTATTGTTGCACGTCAAGTGCTTCTTTATGATGTTTGTTCACTGTAATAGCTAGCCTTAAGCACTCTCCCTCCTTTTTTATTCTACCTAATAAAAAACCACTCGACCGTTGGGTTGGACCTAAAGCCGCAATTGAATTGTGTCCTCGCCCTATACATAATACATCTTTTGCTTTGCCAACTCACCACTCGTGAGAAATACTTGAAGTCAGTTGATTGCATCACTACACTTCACTCTAGAATAACAGTGTTTTGTGTGTAAAATGTGGTAATCTTATAATTACATAATTGAGGATTCCATTCGCAAATGTCATCACAAATTGTCTTTTGGGATATTTTGTGCTTCTAGTCTGTATGTTTCCTTAAATTCAACAATTCTTTTTTGAATTTTCAAATTTAACGTCATAATTTGAACCTTCCATACAAATTTGTGAAATATCATCTCTGTTTTTGTTGATTTTTTAATTGACTTTTTTTGCGACGTACTGGTTCATTTGTTTTCAATTAGGCACAATTGTTGTTTATTTGCAGGTTTCAGCTTTAGTATCTTTTACCACCTCTCTTATCATGCCCCACCACCAACCCCCCTCCCTTCCACCAGTCAATGCATGATGTAACAGGAACATGTGAGTTAGTTGGCTAAATACGCTTGCAACGATATCTTATTGACCAGGATACGGTGAGAAAGATTAAATCACCTAATATCATCCGAAACAATACATTACATGCTTATTAAGTTTAGTCAAATCCAATGTACTCAACAGCTCAAATTAAGTGACTTCAATTCAAATATAATATTAAAATAAATCTACATAGCATCTAAATTCCATAAGAAAATTTAATATAAAATGTAGAATTTATCTGTCGACTTGTCTCAATTTTTTTTTAATCTTATAATAACAATACAACAAAGTATAACTCTAAAAATGAGCCTGATTCTTTTTGGCCTCAACTTCTTTTTCCCTTTTTTCCTTTAAAGATAATTATAACTATCTAATAAGCAATAAGGATTGGCAAGATAAACAAATTTAATACAAATCTCAAATATTGAAAAACAATAAACAATATGCGTGCTAATCATTAACCAACAAAGTTATAAAAAATGAGTGCCCAGTAAATCAAATGCATTGAATTATTTTTTTTTTCTTATTTATTTCTTGGTGTTTTGCATTCCATTTTAGCTGTAGAATGTGTCATATATTATAGTCTGAGTTATTGACTTTCATAATGGAGCTCGAAATCTAGATCACCAAGTTTAATTAAGCTTACATGAAACTCAATATTACTGTTATGAAACTGTCTTTGAGGATTCTTTGCCTCATTATGGACCCTTTTTCTCTTACCTGTGCAGGTAACATAAATATTACTGCTAACCTGTTCCTCATAACATATCACTTCTTAAGCTACACATATTTTTATAACTAATTATTTCAATGAACATTTGATTTCTTTTGAAAAATTCTAAATAGTTACATATGTAAATAGCTAACTTATAGGTATCGAAGGCTCACTATTAACATTATCACAAACTAACAAAATATTTACAATATCAAAATGGACTTCTGTGTCAATGAAGCTCTTAGGTGGTTATTTTACTCGGGGAATGTATTTTTGATTTACTCCATCAAAAAGGACTACCAGAAACTGTAAACAAAAATTCATGGATACAGAAGTCCCTCCTTGCTTTTATAAAAATTCCAAAAATATGAATTTAAATTAAAACAAATTTCTTACCTTCCCTACTTCCTCTTTTTTCCTTTCCTTCCTCAACTTCTTATATTCTTTTTCTTTTCTTCCTCTTCTCATTTCCTTTCTTCTCTTCTCTTTCCTTCCCTGATTTCGTTCTTCCACTCACCCTCTCTGTTACAGTGAAATGGGGGTCACACACACACACGGCTAACAGTAGGTGAACAGTAAAATTAAAATAAAACATTAGGAAAATTTTATCAAAATAGAAGCTAATTCAATGGCTTTCTAGTCTTTGAAACTAACAAATTGTTCTATATCTCAAAATGATCGTTTTGCAGAACAATGAACCTTTTCTTTTTAATGATTTTCGATAAAGTTGAAATTTTGGGTATAGTTGATTTGGAGCATTTTGCAATTATACCTTTCAAACAATTGGGTATTACATCTCTATTGCTTAATTTTTATTGTATGTAGTACAAGTTGCATGTTGGCTTTTAGAGTGATTTCTTGGTTGTTTCTTATGTACTAGTTTTGCAAGGATAGAAAATCAGATATTTAGCTACAATTTTTTTTTTGGTAAGAATTTTGCACTCATGCACAGGTCTTTTATTATGTGTAATTGATTTTCTCTATTGCTTGTTACTATCTTTATTTCTCAGGTAATTTACTCTGATGAAGAACGCAAGTTCAACAGAGAGATTACCATTGGCCTTATTCGTTCTGACTTGCTAAACCTTTCTGAGTACAACATGCATATTGCAAAACTTATCGATGGGGGACGGAATAGTATGTATCAATTATGCATTTGCTCTTCTTTTTTTCCACGATATGTAATTAGCTGTTAATATTTTTCTTAGATTCCATATGTTGACATTTGTTTGGACTTCATTCAGTAATGCTTCTTGCTTTAATTTCCCCTGAAATTTCTTGTAAATGTACGATAAAACTCCCTATGCGACTCATGCTCCCCTTCCATGCTGTATAACCTTGACCGGTACACTTCGAAGGCAGCTCATTCATCTTTTGAAGAACAATTGTCATTTCATACAATTCTAAACAGTATCAAATGAAGGCTTAGTATTCATGATAAAAGTACATATTCCTTTTTGTCCTCAAATTGTTTAAGTTCATTTGGAGTTCAATATTTAATTAGTCGTTTCTCATGTTTGTTGTGTGATGACTACAGTATCTTATATAACACACCACCTGCTGCAGTTTTTCTCCGCTTAAAGGAACCAGGAGTTAGTTTCTGAGTTTATATAGCAATAAAGCTTTAGTGTTCACCTTGGAAACCTAGTTCATATGAAGTTTAATATTTTGTTCCTACTCTTGGCTTTGTAATGACGACAACATCTTAAAACAGAAGCTGCTACGGATTTTGCAATATCTCTTGTTCAAGCTTTGGTCATAAATGAACCTGGAGTTAGTGTGTCTGAGTTGTATCATCTTATTGATGCTTTGACAAAGGTATGCATCTTCGTTTTGCTAGATATTTGATGTTTGTATATTTTTTCAAGCTGTTTGTTAAATGTCACTCTCGTTCTTGCAGTTAGCAATGAGGCCAGGATCACCAGAGTCTTTGCAGCAGTTGATTGAGATTGCCAGGAATAACTCTACGGGTGCAAACTCTCTTGCTAGCTCTACTGCAAGCAAGGATGAGAAAACTAGGCAATCTAAAGACAAAATGGTGAGCATAGATTTATTTTTTGAACAATATTCATTGTTTATTTATTGGATTGAACACCTTAGGATGGACCCCCTAAATCTGTGACCTTTGTGCGCAGCAAGTTCTTATAAGCCGATCTGCATCATCTAGAGAAGAAAATGATTCTGGAGGTTCTGATCCTGCTGGCTTTCGTGAGCAGGTATGTGAAAACATTTTTAATGGATCCACATTTGCTTTCATTTTATATCATGTGATAAATGCTGAAGCCATTTGATTGCTGTACCAAACATTCATTTAGATTCGGGGCCGTTTGGTTTAGTGAATTAGTGGTGTACTGTAATTCTTTTGCAGAGATTTGAGAAAATTCTGTGTTTGATATGAAAATTTATAAATACAATGTGAAGTTTCAATGAATTTGAAGTTTACATCCTAGTTCATTTTGGTTGTAAGTCGATTTGGTCGAATTTGAATTACATAATTCGTGTAAAATGTTATAGGAAAGTCATCGGCGCCCTCCACCGCCTCCCACTGCCTACCACCGCCGCTCGCTTCCAACACCCGTCGCCATCGCCTCTTGCTATCGCGGTCCATGGACGACGCCTTTGCTGCCCCGCCGCTTGCCGCCGCCCTTTGCATATGTAGATGTATTGTTTTTAATCTACTTCAAATCAAATAAAAAAAAAAATCCTACGTTTATTTTACAATAAACCAAACAACTCAAAAGTATTTCAAATACATTGTAATTATATTACTCTGCAAATCTTTTATATTGCAGTTCATTTTTAGCAAACCAAACTGGCCCTTAATTATTTCCCTTAATTATTTCAGTTTGATCTTCTGGTGATATTTTTATCAGTTGATATTGGTTTGACATGATTCGATAGTTGCGGTTTTTGGTGTTCATGCCTTCATTGTTTGTTTCTAAAACATCTGTTGATTTAAGAAACATGTTCTGCATGGAAGGTTGTCATCAATAACGTGAACAGGTAGTCATTGTTTAGCATGCAAAGGGATAGTTGATGATATTCCTCTTTTCTGAGTCAAATCTATTTCTATGGTTGTGTTTTGAATGCAAATGGGTACCAATCTATCATTTTTTCACCCATTAAAATTTACATATATAATCTCTGTTTAAAGCTTCTACATACAGTATGTTTAGGTCTATTTTTTGAAAATCTCACTGAGGATCAATACATTGGTAGAATCTCTTTGTGCTTGTGAAAATCGTGTTGTGGGTTTGCATGATTATTTTCAAGTTTAATGCCTTAAGAGCTATTGAAATATCTGTTTCATTCTTCATTTGGAATTCTTCTTTTATGTAGGCTTCTCTCCTCTTTGCTGAGTGGTGCCGGATCTGCGATCTACACATTGCCAATGATACTGCTTATACTAATTATTTAGCCCAATTGCAGCAGGCTGGGCTGCTTAAGGGTGATGATACGACAGATATATTTTTTCGTGTTTTGACGGTCTCTTTCTCCCTCTTTCCCCCTACCTTTCTCATTCATTCCTTGTGTGGATATCTGCGCTTGTTTTGCATGCATATTTGTTTGCTTTTGCATCTTTGTTGTGTGTATCTATTGCCATGCCTTCCTTTTATTTTTAGGGTATCTTTACTAATTCTGATAGCCCTTCCAGGAACTCTCTGTGGCACATTGTCTATCCTCTGAACAAGCCGGTATTACAGGATCATTGCCAATTCAGTCAACTCAAATTCATAACTTTTCTTTTGGTACCATTGATGCATTTGCGAAACTCGTCGCTTTTGTTGTGAAGGTATTTTGAACCACATACTTTTGCACTCTGCTGTATATAAATTGAAGGTATTTTGAACCACATACTTTTGCACTCTGCTGTATATAAATGTCCCTTGTTGGTAATTCCTTCAAAATTTATGAGAGTTTTTGGTTCAGTTGAAAATAAACTCTTGTTTTTATGCATATTTATTGATTTTTTATAAATTTTCTGTGGCCAGTACGGTACAGCGGATACAGGAACGAGTAAAGTTGTCTTTTTACCGAAGGTTATATTTAGTAATCCATTTTAACTTTTTTCAGAGTAAGTGAAGCAATCAGCAGCTGATTTTTGTATGACATTGCCTCTTTCTCTCATTTTACTCCTAGATTCTGTCCGTGTTAGTGAGAGCAATTGTAAAAGACGCAGAAGAAAAGAAAGTATATTTCAACCCAAGGCCATACTTTAGGCTGTTTATCAACTGGCTTCATGACCTTGCTTGTCATGATCCTGTGCTTGACGGTGTTAATTTCCAGGTCAGTGCTGATAGGTTCAGGAAATTGCTGCTCAAAAGTATGTCATCCTATTTGCTTTCCTCATGCATTTCTTTGACCTTGTATTTCAGGTTTTAACATCTTTTGCAAATGCTTTCCATGCTTTGCAACCGCTGAAAGTTCCTGGTTTCAGGTTATTTGTTACGGAGTATTTTGTTTTATTTTTTTATAAACTTCATCAAAAACTTTAGAAGAAAGTGCTTATTTTTTCCTTTTACTGAAACTGATTGGGTTTCACATTTGAAAATTTAAGATTTTGCAAACATGACATCAGCATGGCTTCTTTCTCTATAAAAAACTGTTTAGTTTTGTTTACTCTTTTCAGCACATTCTTCTTATTTTGACTGCCATTAGATTAACAAAATGCCCGAAGTGTAACTAATGCAGCTGATCCTTTTTATGTTGAATTAATCTAGAGCTACGAGCTATTATTTCTTTGGTTTAATTGCCTAGCCTGAGCACTATCTTGTAATCGTGGAAGTTTACAGTGATCATCATGGATTTAGAAATGGCGCTTCATTTCTTCTCTTTATATCATCTAAACTTGTGATCTTTGGAACTTTACATTGTTCATCATGGACTTACAAATGGTGTTTCATTTGTTCCCTTTATATTATATAAACTTTCATTTTTTGTTAATATCTTGTGGGGAAAACTAGAAATATGTTGGCTTATTTAATAGATGTTAAATAAACTCCTCATAATGAAAAAAGATTATGGATGAAGATATTCTTATAATTGAAGATATGATTATGGGTATTTATTTTCTTAATATTTTCTTCTATATGTTTACTTCTATGCCTTCGCCCAAATCAAGAATTTATATGAAAATTTGTTTTCTCAATATCTCTGAACTGGGGAGTAAATCAGAAGAATCCTAGCATATTATTGATCATGTGTAACTTTCTCATCCACCTCTCAATCCTTATTGGTGTCACTATTCGGACTCATGATCTCACTCTTGGCTCTATGTTTTTTTTCAAACTTATCATCTTCTCTTCCTTCGTTTGAGTTTGACCACACTATATTGTGCTTGAACACTAATTGCATCGCTAAACTGCTTGTAGCAAACGCTAATTGCATCGCTCCAAGGTTGTTTGTGCTTGAGCTACAAACATCAATTTTGTGTTTGCCCCTAATGTATCTTGTTGGTATCTCTTCCCTTCTATGAGTGCTTATTTGTTACCATCCCTTCTAAGTTAGCTATTGCAAATTAATAATTGCCCTAAAATTTTCCACATGCTCGCCTTTTTGGGACTCCAAGTATGCTTGTTGCATGCTGAAAGGCTCATTTTTTATGAATTTGTAATTTTTTCAATCTTAGTGAATTTGCAATTTAGTTATATTGGTTACCACGACCTCAGCACTATTTGCGCTCCCAACTTCCCCAGTTTCTAGCTCATGGGATGCCATCTTTATTTATGCTAGTGACCTTGAACGGGCTTTAGCTCCTATGCATCACTATTTCTGACCACAACCTTTACTCTGCTTGTATGTTCCATGTGTGGTGCCATCCCCACAGTCACCATCATTTCTGCTCTGTGATCTCAACCTTCAGCCTGTTCCTACATGACCCCATGTCCACTTTTGTCCACCATCATTTGTTATCACCACTCTCCGCCATCCTTTTCACGTCACGTTTAATGCCATTTGCCTTTGTTTAGAATTTGAAGTTAATTTATATTACTATTGCAAAAATTAAAGGATATTGTATTAATGCACATTTAAGTTGTTAATAAATAAAAAAGAAATTCATTTCACAGCCAAGTAACATGAAAATATTGAATTGCATGGATCGTAAATAATTTCAACTAAACAATCAATTCCATGGAAAAAAAGTAAGGTCTCATTCTCATATAAGATATACTATCAATCTTTAAACTATTTAAAGAAATGAACCTCTTTGGTTGTATTTGTTATTAATAATTGAAAATGTAATTTTTGCAGAAGATATACTAATATATGAAAATTTCATTTTAGTTATTATCTTTTATTATTTTCTCTTGTATGTCTATTTATAGACTCTCATACATGTCATTAATATACATGATAAATTTGTGATTATCTATCATCAAAACAATCCTTCAAAAGGGTTTGCATTTTATCACAATTGGAAGTGCTTACTATTCATTCCTTGGAAAGTTAGCATTTTACATGTTTTTTTCTTTTTCTTTCATGCATGTTTTTCCAACTAAATCTGACTGTGCTGCATACTAGCATATGTTTGATGTTGATATGGTGTAGTTTTAAGTATCAAATTCATATTAGTAATGCTCTTTATATCTTTTTTATGAAAATGAAAATAGTAAAAATTAATTTTGTCAAACAAAGTTTGGGCCTTGTAAAAATTAATGATGAGAAATTCAGGGATGGTAAAAGTTACATAAATGAATGAATTATCACTCTAATGACAAACCTAGATTGAGACAAATTTATCTAATTTCAACCATGCTTTCAACCAATAATAAAATGTGATTAGGAGGTAGAGAAATGAAAAAAAGAGATGTTGCCAAAAAAGCGGGTCTTATACTTGTATAAGAAGTTGCTCTATCAAAATTAAAGAATTAAATGTCAGAAGACTATCATTTGTTCATCCAAAGTAAATTTACCCTATGTGCAAGACCAAAGACTAGATGTGATTGGTAGTCATTAGAATTGAACGAGTTTCATCATGTGTGAGGCTGTTAAAAATCTTTTCTTACTTTGTGTTTTCACCGATAATAACCATTAAATTGTAATCCTAATATATTGTAGTCTCATGGAATTTTGAATTTTGATAAATTTTCATTGCAAATTATTGAAAATTAGCCAATGAGTCATTTCATGTTGTTTGAAAAAACTAACGATGGCTTCACGCCATTTTGCACCACAAATGTAGGGGTGATGCCTAATCCATGATCTCACTTCATCGTTGTGTATTCTATCCTTTTGCCGACTCCATTTCTCTTTCTCGTCGCATTCAATCACATTGATTTTGCAATCCTTAGCGAGCTTTCCAATGAACACCAGATATTTTCCTTTCAACCTTCATTATCACATGTTTTTTTCTTGATTGTAGCCTTCATGACTGCAGTTGGATTCTCCATTGACTTAATTTTTCTGAAGAGATTTTTTGATCCTTGTTAAAGTCGTTCAGCCCAATCAAAGGAAGTTGAAGGCACACACCCATATTAAGGACTTAACAAAGAGGAGGTTAAAGTACCCAGATAATGGTAAAAATCCTAACCCATTGGTGCTTGCCCATTAACATGCTTTGATAAGTCCATCATTTCCTATGGACTGCTAGACTCGTATAATGTCATTATCGACTCATGGATTATTGCTTCAAGTGTCATATATCATATGAAACTTTAGTACTTTACTCCTTACCTAAATAATAGAGAAGCATGTATTGTTGATGGCTTTATTGCGCAACAATGGGATTGGGAGACATTCATATCCGTTCACCATTTGTTCTGAAGAATGCACTTAAGGTTCTTAAGCTTTCTACTAACCTTGCATCCATTTAATAACTCATGTTATATTTTGTGAAGGAACTATTTTCCCTTTGTGTATTTCAAGGTCAAACGATGTGCAAGTGAATTTGAATTGCTCAAGAAAAGGGTGGACTTTACTTTCTTGAAAATTCAAACTAGTCCAAGAATGTCAAGAATGATTTGGTTATATATTTTCTCTCTGTTTATTAAATTTTGAAGTCAATAACTTGGAACATGCTCATTTATCTGGCAAGCAAATTTCATTCCACCTGAACTGCTTATGTTGGGCAATTCTGCTCCAGGATTTGCTTGAAATAAGGGGATTGACCCTTTAAATATTTTATCCTTGAAGCTGGGCCGTGAGCTTTCATCAGCTTATAGTAAACCATCAGCTTATAGTAAACCCAGAGAGAGAGAGAGAGAGAGAATGTTTCAAGCAATTCTGCTGCTTTATTTTTAAATGATTTCTTGAATAGTTCATTGTGGCTTATTTGTATTGATTTTTTTATACTTATTTCAGCTTTGCATGGCTCGAGTTGATTAGCCACAGAAGCTTTATGCCAAAGTTGCTTACAATCAATTCTTTAAAGGGTTGGCCATTTTTCCAGCGATTACTTGTTGACCTATTCAAATTTGTTGAGCCATATCTGAGAAACGCTGAGCTGAGTGAATCGGTTAGGTTTTCTTTTGTGATTACTGACATTTTGAAGCACCAAATTTTCAACTTTGGTGATTTACTTGTTTGTTGTTTAAATTCTTTGCAGGTTCAATCTTATTACAAAGGGACGCTTAGGGTTCTTCTAGTTCTTTTGCATGATTTTCCTGAATTTCTCTGTGACTATCATTTCAGTTTTTGTGATGTTATACCTCCAAGTTGTATCCAAATGCGTAATGTTATTCTTAGTGCTTTTCCACAGAAAATGAGACTTCCTGATCCATCAACGCCTAACTTAAAGGTTGCTCTCTTTGTTCTATGTTTCATTAACTTCAATATCTGCATGTTGGTAGCACATGCTGAAGCACCAAATTTCTTGTTTTCCTTGCAGATTGATCTTCTAACTGAAATCAGCCAATCACCTCAGATTTTGTCCGACGTTGAGGGTGCTCTCAAGTCAAAACAGATTAAGTCTGATGTTGATGAGTACCTCATGGTAAGGGTTCTTACTTTGTTCTTTGGCAACTTCTTCATTGGCCTGAATTATAGATGAAATTTGCTTGTATTATTCATTTATAGAAACACAATTGTCCCCGAGTTAAAGTTTATGTATGATTAAGGATGAAGGTAATTTCGTTATTTCTCAGCCTATATGTATATGTATGCCCTAATTTGCTTCTGTATGCAGCTCTGTAAAAGAAATATGACACTCTAAAATTGTTATGCTTAATTTTATGAGAATTGAAAAATTGAATAAAGTTAATGATGATTTGGGCAAAAGTTAGAAGTGTAATAGCAGCTTGCATCTGTCACTTTCATTAAGTTTAAATATGAAACTGTTTCTTGTTAGTGTTTCTCATTTGTATGGCCGGTGATTTTATTTTTTCAAAGATAGCAGCTTATGAAGTAATCCAATATTTTTTGAAGTTAATCTTACTTTAGCACTAATTTTTTAACTTCTGTTGATGGGCCAGCCTCATGATGAGATTCCCTAGGCTTGACTCATGCTCAACTTCTAACAGCACAGCCTGGAATCACAATTTCTAGAAATATTAGAAAAATCTTAAGTTAAGTCTTAATTTAAACCGAAGTGGTTTTCAAGTGCTATTTCTTACCTCGAAATGATCTCCCTGTTGCATATTTGGTGTGTTTGTGTGCTTGTGATTAAATTCACTCAAATATTCCAAAGTCTCCCTGCATCATTTCTCCTATTCTACTACTAACTTCTTCTGTTTCCTCTTAAAATCCAACAATCAAAACTTGTTCTGAATTAAAATAATAAGTCAACTGAAGTTGTTGGAAGTCGAAGAAAACTCGGTGAAAAAATTATAATTTTGATAAATATTTTTATTTTAGAAGTTCTACTTATATCATTTTTACACTTACCTAACCCCTAAACCCTAAACCTCTTTGTTTTAATGAAAATAAACACAATCATATTTATATCTATATGTATTTATGCCAATTACTGTATCCATTACCTCAGATTTCTTCACTATTGGAGCTGAATTTCCCCAAAAGCCCAAAACCGAGACCGACTACAGCTTCACCTCCCAAGTCTTCGCGCCCGTTCCTCTACAGTGCCAAGTGGTGGGATCGTCCCTGTTGCGACAGTAACACGAAGGGAATAAAGAAAATATTATAGGCTTAAGAAATGAATTTGGATTGATAAATATGCATATATAAATATTTTACCTCGAATTTCTCCCCCAATCTTTCCTCTTTCTTTCTCGATTTCTTCTGCTGCTGTTATTGAGAGTGGAAGCTCTCGGTCACGCAAGCTCTTGCCCTTGGTACAGTGCGGAGTGTGTTACAGGGAGGAGAAACATGAAATGAGAAGGAATAAAGATCTTAACATAACATGCATACTTATATATTAATTTTTTTTAATTTAAATTAATCTGCAACATCCAATTAGTCCAGCCACTGCATGCCGAGATCAGTGGGTATGCTATAGTGCCAGATTAAGAGGGGATTAACAGAGTTTTATAATATTAATTAATTAATATTTAGTTATATTAGTTTAGTTATTTATTTTATAAAACAAAATGTATTAAAAATTAACCTACACTTCTATGATTAATTTGATCAACATAAAATTTAGAATTTTATAAAATAGTTTGATTGGATTTCGGAGAATATGAAAAATTAAGCATATTTTAAAATAATCAAAATTTTACCTTAATTGGCCAATTTGTTCATTACACTATTCGATGATTTTATCATGGAACTAGAGACTTCCTCATAATATAAAGGCAGTGATTTTTTATTCGCCAAGTATTGGAGTGGTAATGTGAAATTAAATCTTTTTTGTGGGACTCATTTGTGTAGCTGGTGAGTTTCTTTTTTTTTTCTTTTTTTTTTTGGGTGAAGGTGAGTTTCTTTTTTTTTCATAGTTAATAGCTTGTGATGTAAATGCAATCGGGAATAACACAAACATGTGGTATATCATAGCTGAGTAATGTTACAAGCCCCAAATAGAATACCAAGAACTTGGGATTCAATAGATTCTTGTACATCTGTGACGATGCTTGCCTGGTTTGTATCAAATGGGAATGTGTTCCTAATATTATGCTTTATGCGATCAATGTGAATATAAAATCCATTCCATGTTCTTGCTTATTTGGGGTATATGGTTTTATGCTTTATTATTATCTCTACATTGCCCTCCAAAAATTTCTTATTCTGAATTTTGTGCATTCTTTGTTTTCTTGCGAGTGTTATGATTATTTCAGTTGATTGTTTATTGCCATTTGTTTTAATTAGTTTTCTAATTTTGTGCTGTAGACGAGATCAGAGGGGTCTTCATTCTTAGCTGAGCTGAAACAGAGGTTGCTGCTTTCCCCAAGCGAAGCAAGCTTGGCAGGAACTCGTTATAATGTGCCGCTGATAAACTCACTGGTGCTATATGTAGGCATGCAGGTAATGATCAACTGCCGTAATTTTGCGCTGGTATGTTGTCCATGAAGTTGATTAATTTGTCTTTTTTGGCGATAAGTATGCCATTATTGTTGTGCTGAACTAGCTGACTTGTAGGATGGCATACTTTGGAAAACCATAAAATTCATCTAAAGTTCTTGTGAGAGCATGTAATACTTACTTTGATTGAATTAATTTCAAATTAATAAGTGATTTGGATCGTCTGTTCATATCAGTACTATGAAGCATTTATGAATAACGTTCATTCACGTTAGTGCCCATTGTTAGCAATTATTTTGTGACACTTTATTAACAATTATCTAAGTTTCGCATTGTTGTTTGATGTTGTGCTTTCTATTTACTTGAATCACTGTAAAACCTGAAGAAAATACATTTTGAGCGTGATGATGACAAGCTTTTACATATAATAGCTGGTTAATTTGTTTTTTATTTCTTTTATTAGCACCTATTTCTTTGTGTGCACGTGTGTTGCAGGCGATTCAACAGCTGCAGAGCAGATCCAGTCAGCCTTCGTCCGCCCAACAGATAACTCAAAACCCTCCTATGGATATAATGCTTGTTGGTGCTGCAATGGATATCTTTCAAAGTTTAATAAAGAATTTGGATCCCGAGGGTCGATATCTATTCCTCAATGCTGTTGCTAACCAGCTGCGCTACCCAAACAACCATACCCATTATTTTTCCTTTGTTCTTCTCTATCTTTTTGGGGAGAAAAACCAGGTGAGAATTTTCTTTTAAGCTGCTTTTATTCCTCGTTTTGCTTTCATGCATATTTTGATATATCGCTGTAAAATTGAGATCTTTGATCAGCTTTAAGGCAAAGATTTATAAGCTGGATTTAATTTGAATTCTGACAATTCCTGCTAAACAATCAAATTGGCAACTTCAACTCCTACAAAATCTTAACTCCCGTTATTTCTCGGTTTGCCTCAAATCCCAGATTTTTTAGTTCCTAATATTGACTGGATTTATTTTAAATGTGCAAGTCTCTTGATTAGAACATTTGGACCCATAAAATATAATTATAATTTATGAGTTCATTAATTAACCAATATTAAGCTAATTAAGAAAATATTGTTAATGATTTAATTTGGATTTCTTATGTTTAATTATATATATAAATTCTCAATTAATGATTAACTAATGTACTATGCTATGCTAATTGTAATTAAATTATACTAATTAATGAATAATAAATTACTGATTAATAAAAATAAGTCTAATATAATTAATTATTTGTTAATTAAATTTAATTAATGTTTAATATAATATAGTTTAAAAAGTTAAATTAAATTGAAGTACAATTTCTAATCTAAAAAAAAAATTTTGCCTGATTAATAGTTTTTGTTTGGGTTTTTTGTTACATTTCACGCGGAACTTTTAGTATCCACGCGTGATCTGAGATTATGTTTTGGACTTCGAATATTTTGGTAGGAACCTATTCAGGAGCAGATTACGAGGGTCCTCTTGGAGCGCTTGATAGTCAACCGCCCTCATCCTTGGGGCCTTCTTATTACTTTCATTGAACTTATCAAGGTATTCTACAACTATCTCTGTAACCCGGAATTACTCCTCTGGGATGCTGCACCATAAATGTCTCAAAAAAATAGCTTTTGTCGAGGAAAAAAATATTGCGTGTGAACAGGATAAATGCGTATTTGATAGTATTTTGGTGGTATTCACTACAATTCCATCACAATAACACTAATCCGCACATTTGGATTCCACACATAATATGTGCTCTGGGTTAAGATGGTACATAAATCTTTTCTAAAACATGCAGAATCCAAGATACAGCTTCTGGAGTCGATCCTTCACCAGGTGCGCCCCAGAAATTGAGAAGCTATTTGAGACCGTATCAAGATCCTGCGGAGGTCCAAAAACAGTGGACGATGGAATGGTCCCAGCCACCCTCCCCGATGGCAACCACTGATTATTGTTGATTCAACTTTTCATTTTTATTTTTTTCATTTTTTTTCTCTTCTGTTTTGTAGCTATGTACTGCATGCAATTGTTGACGTTAAATAATCCTTTTGACTGTTGATTGTTTCTTTAATGTATTCCATAGTTTACAGGCATTGTACATCATGTACAGCTCATTCAATCGGATTTGTTGACAATTGTTACCATGAAATTGCATGGTTCATTTATTTGGTTCCTTGGTCTCTCGTTTTCTTATATTGTTATCCCTTGTTTAATTTTCGCTGGGCATACAAATTGCACTCATCTTATTCTTCATTCATGCATTGGGATATTGCAATAGCGCGCATACTCCGAGCAAATATTTCATCCGGACTCCGGACGCAATTTGCGTCCGGAGTACAATGGTGGGGCGCCACAGTCAAGTAGGCCCACTTCAATACAATGGGATTGGTCAGTGTTAAAATTTGTGAAGCTCACCTGACACGTGATGCCCCACTATTAGACTCTCGATGCATCTAGAGTCCTGATCTAACAGAAGATGTGGGACTCTTACCCGCTAATGCAGGACGATTGGCTAGTTTATCTTAGGAGTGCATCAAATTTAACCATGACAATTACTGTTTGTAAATTTTTCATCATAACGGTGTAGGACACTACTATTTGATGGGTCCAAAGAGTGACATCAAGTCTTTTACAATTTTTTTAAAGAAGCATCAAAATTCCATAATGAAAATTCTTAAAATCAAGCTGATCAGAAAGTAAATATGCGTACACATTTTTCAACACTGCATTAAATAAATTCCCCAACATTTAGGTATTCCAATTTTCTACATGGTTGGATTGTGTGTTTCTCCACTACCATTTTTCTACACCTAAGTTATTATTTCTCTAATTGAAATTTGTTTTGTTTTCTAGCCTATGCTGTAGGTGTTGAATATGTAGTGTTCAATCTTTGTCGTTCAACATTCAAGATCTTCAAAGCAGCAGTATTAAGATCTACTAGTTCATAGGCTATCTTATGAGCTGGTAGAGATCTTTGCACTGAATTTAACCCAGAGCCATTTAATTTCCCACAAGTGGCATCCACCTGTGATGATAGAATAATCAGAACATCACTTTCATGCATACTAGCTATTATCTTTGGGGTGATTCTCTTAGATGATCATTGGACATTATTTGTGGTCATTTAATATATCCGTTCATAGACTTCATCAAAGGGTTTTGACTTGACAAATCCACAAGAAACAACATCTACGATCTACTTGGGATCTCGCTAGCAAATTATAAAGATTTGTATAATCAACAAATCAAAAAAGTGGTGTGAACCCTTCCTAAGTAATTTTTTAACATCTCCAAAAATTCTGAATTGACTCTCAATATAACTGAGTGAAGGAAATGACGTCATTCCTGAGTTGGATGCTTTTGTCGAAGGGAATTATTGGCCTAGAATTTTTTAGCTAAGTTAGTCCAAGGGGTGATTGATATTGATTCTAAGGAGATTAACCGCATCTTGGATTTATTCTTCAGTTAGGAAGAAAATTGCTTTAGTCGAACGACATAATTGATGACACTGCTATACCTAAAGGTGGCACATAATTCTAAAAAAATTAGTTAATTGACAATTTAGGTCCTTAGTGGGTGATCCCCCAAATTGGTTATTATTGACCATTTATATTATGGCGGGTCTCGGTTCAAATGTACTGGCTTCTATGATAGTATAATTAATACTCATGTGAATTTTTTCTACGGATAGGTTGACGTAATCCCTAAGGGGTTTCAGATGGTTTTCTTAAAGGTTTGTCATTGCTAAGTGAAACTTTTTGAGTTTTTAGAAAGCGTACTAATTTAGCTAAATAGCTCTTACACATGCAACTATAGTTAATTTAAAAATAAAAAAAATCATGAATTATAAACACAAATAAAACATACTACTAATAATGCTAATGTATAACAAACAAGAGCATAATGGTTTTTTAGATTTTTGAATCTTTCAAAAACAAAGAACAAGTAAAGCTATAACAAATGCACATATAAATTGAAAAAAAAAAAGAATGTTCAAATCTAAACACTTGTGTTTCAACTAAACTTTTTCTAAAATAAGAAAATTTGACTCATTTTCTCGACAATGGTGTCAAAAGTTTGATGCCCAAAATTTCTTAGAAGTAATCGATCAATCGGTCAACCACAAACATATATATGTCGATCAAATAATATATAAAATAAAAGTCTGCATATTGATCCCATGAGAAAACTTGTCAATTTTTCTAACAAACTAAGTTTTAGTTTACTCCCCATTAAGTTCAGTTTGAAGGTTCAAATTTCCAAAAAGTAAAATGTTCTACAATTCTAAAGCATAAATCATAAAATAACACTAACTCTTTAAGGTTTTTTAGAGGCGATGAGGTTAATGCTTCTGTGACACCAACCTAGTTATTCCTCAAAATTTTTTCTATGAGTTTCCCATATAATAGTTGACACCCAGAGATAAATCCTCCTTAGCCTATGTCCAGGTCATAAGATGCATTAGAAAATCTTATTATAGTTAAGGAGACCTAATTATGCAAATTTTTTTAGGAATCCTCTAGCCCCCTCTAAATGCCGTAATTTTCTAATGGCAATATGTTTATTCCACCAGACTATTGTGTGTTAATCTACTAGTTATTCTAACCAACAATAAAAAGTATTAGAATATTACAAATTTTAACATCCTAATTGGTCAAATCAAGAGTAGACAAAGATTAAAAGGTTAACACTTCGGCAAAATTAGAAGCATACAAAATATTTGAGAAAAACTCATGAAGAAAATAACAAGTAGTTCACATGCCCTGCATCACAAGAGCATGAAAAAATTTAGCAACGATGCATGAGGCAAAAAATACAAGAAATTTCATTGAAATTATCAATTATACAATATAGAAAAGTATAAAAAACTCATAATCAAACCAATCGTTCTTCGCAATACACCAAATTCCTTGTTGTATTATGAAACTCCCTGTTAATCTCCCACATACAATAGCACGCAATGGCTCCCTCACAATCTTCTCAGAACTCTCTAATAAAATACACTATAGAACTATTCTCTAAGGGAGAACCATAAGGAAAGAGCCTTGGGTTACAAGTCTATCCTTTAGACCTCAGAAGATAGTCCCTAAAACAACCAAAGAGTCTTTAATGAAACCCTAAACTTAACTTAAATAGGCTTTTCCCGAATCGTCTCAAAATCTTATATAAACAGTGCTTTGCGATGCCCTGTCATAGCTATGCTTGAATCCAACGTAGGTACATCGAAGGGAGACATAGCTTCAACAACACTTGATGTAATTATTCTATCTCCTTTGTTTGTTCAATCGTTCCTTCACCTCTCAGCCAAGTGACCCAATGTAGCCATGCAGGGGTTGACATAGGTACACTAGCCTCTTGTTTTGTCTCGCTTCATGTTTTGGCTCATTGAATTGCGCTCAAGACTTGTAACCTGCAAAACATAGCCAAAGCACCTTTCACAAATATAAAATCATCATAATAAAGAAAGAAAACATGAAAATTACAATGTAAACATGTTATAAAGTTGGTTCAAATCATGGGGTCATAGACAAATCCTTACATACTGGATGCTTAATTTCTCATTTCGAGTATAGTAGAATACTGGTAAGTTATATAAAATGTTAATTAACTTATTTTATAAGAATTATTTACTAATATTGTAAGTATGTTTATAAAAATATGCACTTGAAAGAGAATTGACAGTTGTGAAATTGCATAGTAGAGCATATTAACACCAGGTGGACAACCAATGGATTGATTCATGTCCTAAATAGCTTAAATAAATAAAATATTTTTTTTTTCAAACTGTAATCCATTTAAAAATATATTATATTTTAATTACATTGTAATTATTTTTAAGAAGAGTACATGAGATTAAAAGAAGTGCATAATCAAAGTTCTATAGTTGCAGGATGTTTAATAGATTATTTAAACAATTAGAGTTTAACATATAGAGAGAATTTATTGATTAAAAAGAAATGAACCTTATGTGGCATACGGTTGTAGACTTTACCATACGATATGAACACTATTTCTCTAAATATAGCATCAATTCAATTGACGACCTGGCTAAAAGGTATATGTGGTTGCAATTGTTGATAATATTGAGTCTTAAGTAACAACTCAGATGAAAACTCGATTGGTTGCTATGAAAGCAAGAATAAAAAAAGATATGCCATCATAGATGGAGGGGGAAAGTAATAAAATAGTTAATGGTAGAGGAGAGGGAGGAGGAGGATGTGGAAAATGACGAAGAGATTAACTATGATTAATTTTTGTTTATATTAGTTAGACACACACACACAAATATGTGTGTGCATGTCTGTGTGTGTGTGTGTTTTGAGTCTCCTTAGTATCGTTATTGTGATGTGATGGCAGACAATTATAGAACGTTAGCTAAATATCAATTTAATTTATTTATATATTGCAGGAATAAAGTTGAGAAAGAATGAGCTTCTTTTATTAATTTTTTTTTACATATTTGTTCGCAGATTTCTGATAAATTTTCTATTATTTTGTTCATGATATGAAATATGATGACATAAATAGAAATTGAAAACTTTTGACATTATTGTTGGTGGTCAAACTTATAAAAAATTTAGCCGATAGTGTTCATTAGATATTTTGTCATAGTTCAACGAGAAATTCTGTAAGTTCTATTTTCAGTTGATTGCCCAACTTTTGGCGATGTTTCCTACGTGCTTGTCCATCTACATATTTTAATAGCCTTATGGAATTTTTGTCCAGAAACATTTTTTGAAAAATTTAATCTCTATTAAAATGTATTTATAACCAAGAATATTTTTTTGGGCTAAATTTCATTGTTAATCCACTAGTATTTAGTATTTTCAATGAAAAAGTAATAATTCTCAATAAAAATGAAATGTATAAATATGAGATTCTATTGCACTACCTAAATTATCATGATGTCATTATAAGTCCTTATTTATTGAATACTAAGGTTTTGCTAAAGGTTCTTATTCCTTTGTCAACAAACTTCCAAATCATGCCGATTTTCTATTGAATACTACACAAATGCATCTTGCTTTCCGAGAGAAAATACGCGAGCTAAGATGAAGACTCTTTGAGTTAAGGTAAAAGTCTCCCAAAATGGAGTTGGATTTCCTAAGATTGAACCACAAACATTGGACAAATGAGTTCATAGTATTTCGTTTGTTTGTGCAATTGTTATGCTAATTGTACTACTAAGATTCGATCGTTTAATAGAAAAAAAATTAAAGAGTATATTTAGTCTCATATTTTATTAGAAGGATGACTGAATAAATTGCACACTATCGCCTGCCAATAGTAAACATTTGAAATTCGATAATCATCTTCCAAATCGTCCTCTATCAAAAGAACATTAAATTTGAACACTTGTTCTATCTCTTAACGTTTCTCACCATTTATCATTCGACATTTATCAATGAGTAACATCCAATCATATATGTTCCTCCACCTATTCGTACGATTATTTGTATCAAAACAAATTTATTATATTATTTAAAATTTAAATGATATTATTATAAATTGAAACAGCTGCTTGCAACTAGTTTTATAAATGAAAAAGATTTGAATGTTGAATAAATAATTTTCCAAAAAAATTAATATAAATCAATTAAGATGCAGGCTTCATTTCTCCACCCATGTCCTTCTCCACATCCATCCTCTTCTCTTTTCCATTTTGATTTCGCTATAATCAGCCAGAGAAGTTTAGGGTTTAGGCAGCTGAGCAAAGGAGTGATAGAGATGTCAACATTACAGTACCCTCTTCTACCCTACCATTGCCTTCTTTCTGGACGAGGTAACTTTTACTTGCTAATCCCATTCCGTCCCGCTTTCTCCCAGTCTTCTCTCTCGATCCCCTCGAGGACATTTATTTTCCTGCCATAAAAAAATTGCTTTTGAGCGTAGGGCTTAAGTTAGTGGGGCGGAGAACCTAAAATTTGTTGTTGAGCTATGAGTATGGCCTCAAATGTCGTGTTAGCTTTCGAAAGAAAAGCTTCTCGATGCTTACCCATGGCGTGTTCTTGTATTTCTTTGGGAAGGGCTCGCTTGAAATCGGAAGCACTAATGCAATATTTATTTCCTTTCATTTATTTTAGTGGAGTATTTTTCAGAAGTGACGACTCTTTGATCCACTGCCCAACGAAAAAAAAAAAGAGAGTTCGATTCGAAATTCTCTGGTGAAAAAATGCTGAACCTACTCGGCCAGCGAGGAAAACAAAGCTAGATAGGATGAAAAGTAGATCAAAACAAGTCTCTGTAATCTCTCAAGTGTTCGCTCCAGGGACCCAGTTGAACTGTTCGTTAGGAAAGATGAACCAAACTCCTGACTTGCACAGAGAGAGAGAGAGAGAGAGAGAGAGAGAGAACTCAGGGTATGAGTATTGTCCGCCTGGGTATGAGTTGGTATCTCCTACCAACAATATATTTATTTCATTAGGTGACTGTGACAACTTATCTATTTTTTTTGTTAATAGGTAGGAGTTATAGATCAAAAGTGATTTTAACTTTCTAATTGATCAGATTAGAAGTAAATTATAATTGGAAAGTTAACACATCAATATAAATCAAATATGAAGAACACGAAGAAGTGTAGGGAAATCTCAAAATAAGAATTACAATTCATTCATATGTCCAAATCACAGGAGTATGAAAATACTTACCTACTACACATGATCGAAGAAAACATAAAAAACTTCATTGAAATCATAAAATCCAAATATATATGTAAAGAAAAACTCAAACCCGAGTTACCTCTCCTTGAAGTACACCGTGATTTTCTCCTTATATGAAAGCACTCCATTGTTTTGATCTCTCACGTACAAGCACTCAAGTGTCTCACAATTTCTTCCTCTTCAAACTCACTAAAAATCTCTACAAAACTCTCCAAAGAACAAGAGGCAACCCCTAAAAGCAAGAGTGTGTCCCAGGATCTTTTAAAACCATCCCTTATATAGGGTTCCAAACAACTCCATAAAACCTTCCAAAATCGTCATCTCGCGTATCTAAGTCCCCACACGCTAGGGAGTGACGCGGGTGAGATATTGCCTGATGTGGGTGCACCGCTTGCTGGTGCCTTCTTGTTGCTCTCTCTGTACGAAACTAAAGTTTTTGGCATGGGTGCGCTGGGGCTTGACGCGGGGGTGCTATTGGTTGTTGCTCCTTTTCTTGGTGCTCTTTCGTTGTGTTCCATGAGAGAAGGACTGGCCAAGGGGCGCTGAATACTATCAAAAGGGTACTGGACATTGGCAAAAGGGTGCCAGTCCTCATGTTTGGCCAATTTTTCTCCTTTAGCTCCCCTAAGCTCGCTCCATGCCTGTATTCTGCAATACACAACCAATACACCTTCTACAAGCATAAAATTATTTTAAATATCAATTAAAACATAGACTTCATAGCATAAAAACATTATATTTTTTTTCTCACATCAGAGATTCAGGAGGGATAAGAAGTGGTGGTGCTTCGTGGTGACCCTAATTTATGCAAAACCTTGGTGACACTCAAGATCATGTTTAGGACAATTCAGAACACAGTCTTGGGATTCTTGATTGAGTTGCATAGCATGGAAGAGACACATGACACGGAGTTGACAGAGATTCTGACACCGATCCACTAGTTCTTGTAATAATTCGCAAAGGTTTTTCAGTTGCCATGTGAATTGTCACCTTAGAGGGAACACTAGCATGCAATAACTCTGATATCAAAAGTTTCTCTCATTAGTGTGCTTATACTGCTACCCCAGGATTTCAAATCAACACTAATAGAGTCGGTTTAATCCTCTGGTAGAAGATGTGGCGATCAAATTAAGAAGATGGAGCTTAGGATTCATGTAGACTTAAAAGACCGTTAACAATACTTTGCAATAATAAAAAAAATTGCCTTTATTATTCTGAGTGGAAGTGATAGAAGTGTCTTAGATGATAATTTCGGGGAAAAAAAATATGGGGCCAACAACATGAAAATGGGATGTTTTTGCTACTTACAAATGGAGAGTGGATGACTACAATGCTAGAGCATCTTAATATGAATGGGGTTGACAGGGTGGATCCTGTTTTTGAGTATGTTATATAAAGAATTTCCATGTCTCACTTCGAACATCGGTAGACCTCAGTTATATTGAACTACAAGCATACATATGTTGAATTTGGAAGAATTCAAGCTAGGGACATGCTACAACATTTATGGAGGTGTCCAATATCTAATTCAGTTGTTGATGTTGTCCAAGACAGTCAATTAATTGAGGTCAGTTCAATGGGAGTCACTAAGGGTGTTGCATGGTTATATCAATAGATTATGTTTTATGCATCGTGCACTTCCTGAGAAATAATGAGGATATGAAAGTTCTCTTGAAGCCACTTGAGTTAAAAGGGGTGCGCTAGGAATCGGCAGGTGAGGTTGAAGTTTTGATTAAACGTAAAGAATTGCCAGATTATGACCAGATGTGAGAGCCTTACGGTTTGGTCTAACAACAATTTCCTCTCTTTCATCTTGAGGACAATGTATCTTTTTTTTGGTAAGGGAGTAATGTTAGACCGGCGTCGTCCTCCTCATGATCCACTGAGTCGATGTCGAGCTTGCCAAATAATTTAAAGAATTATGCTAGGCGCAAGACTAAAAGGGCAATTTAGTCACGTGTTAGTTATTATTGTGGGGTATGATAGGGCTTAATATGTTTAGTGTTATAATGTATGATTCTTGTCTTGAATCTTAGGGTTAGGGTTTGGGAGAGATCGCCTACCTCGTATTATTGGTGTTTATCTTTTATGTATTTGAGATTGTATCGTTTTGTTTTTGTACCACTGGAATAAAATTAGCATATCGAGCATTAGATGTTTTTAGTGGTGCACTCTCTTTGATTTGAATGCCCCAACAATCATGAGTAGGCTTCATAGTTCAAACCTAGATTCAAAGCCTTCAATGTAAGCTGTGGATACATTGAGGACAGATTTGGATCCTTTACAATTACGATGGTAATTGTGCCATGTGGGGTTACCAATCCCAGCCATCCAATCTCTTTTGGAAAGGTGTTTTTATGGGTGTCCTTTCATGTTGACATAGAATTATGTTAGCCAAAGCATGTAAATTTTGATTTTCTTGTGATGTTTTATCTCTTGGGTATTATTTTTTGCTTTCATCATAATGACTCTCAGAGGCTGTATTCACATGAAAGTTCAATGTTTTTTTTAATAAATTCAACTATACCAAATTTTTAATTTTAGTCCACTTCTTAGGAGTTAACTTCACTTTTTGAATAAATTCCTAACAATATGATTTCATTCATTACTTTCTATTAAATAAATATTCTTGTTACATTTTGCTATTAGGCCTGTCAAAATTTACCTGCACTGTTGACTAGAATTGCGAAGTAAAAGATTTCTGCAAATTGGTTAATTGTAGGACCATAACTTAGCATTTGTGTAACCTAAGAATCATCAGCAATTTGAAATGTAACTAATCACATTCTATATGTCTAATGTAAGGGTTACTATTAATGGGAAAATACTTCCCAAAAGTTCGGCAACATTTGGATACACCAATGAATGCTAAGCGTAACCATGAAAGGCTTGATTATAAGCCTCAGAAAACGGAACAGCTTTACCTGGGGATAGACTTTGGTACGTCTGGTGCTCGATATGCTCTTATAGATAAAGAAGGGACAGTTCATTCTGAAAGTAAACGGGCATATCCAAGAGTTGTAAGATTTTGTTTCAAATGTACTATCAATTTGTTACTATACCCTCAACCTATCATGTATCATGACTTTTTGTTCATATCCTTCAACCTAAACATTCTTTTGTTTAGTGACTACAAGAAATGAGATTTTGTTTGCCTTTACTTTGTTGATGATTCAGATTAATCCTATATTTTACTTTTTGGGTAGGCTATTCAGATTTTTTTTTTATTATTACCGACATGAATGAAACCTGGGATTTTCCCTCTTTTGTGCAGCAGTTCCGTTCTTTTGTGTGCTCTGAAAATTCATACCTCAAACTCTCTTTGTTGTTGAGAGCTTTGTACAGAAGACACTATTGTTACGCAGGCATCTAAGTGCAATTTAGTATTTTATTAGTTATTATTGTGGGGTATAAATAGTGTTTATTATGCATAGGATTAGTATATGCATGAGATTATTGTCATGAGTTATAGGATTAGAGATTTGAGAGAGATCGCTCACCTCTCGAATTTTAGGTACTTATCTTTATGTATTTGAGTGGTGTTGCTTGGTGTTATTAATATAAAATATTTTGTTGCCCTAATTTATGCAAAAAATCATTTTGGTTCTTATCAAAGTAGTATTTAGAGCATTTGACATCGTGCCTAACTGCGAAGCTGTTCCGATCCGAGATATCTACGAGGCTAATGAAGGGATTGCAACTTATAGGATGATATAGTCACTCGATTTGATTGCGAAGCAAAGAAGGGATCTCTACGTACAGGAAATCAGACGAAACAATTACGTTTCAATCTGAGAAGCAGTGAAAGGGATTGCGGCGTACAAGTGATGCCTTCGCGACGTGATGCAATCACGATCGAGTTAGCTAGGAAGCAATATGGGTGCCTTCGTGATGTGATACAATCACGATCGAGCTAGCTGGGAAGCAACTTAGGTGCCCTTATGACACAATACAGCTGTGATTCAATTTCTCTGTGAAGCACGACGTGACCTAACGTCGTTGCACAATGGTAATTCGAGCTAATCGGGAAACCAATGACAGGATTGCGAAGTACATAGTTTTGCCTTACTGATTGAAACTTATTGGGAGTAATGGTAGAAAAAAAAATTAATAAAAATAATAGAGACGTTGGAGGAGAAATTAGAGAGAGAAGTGAGCTAAATCATATCAGAAATGGAGGGGCGTTCTCGTCCATGGAGGGACGACTCTTGTCCATTAAGGGGAGATTCACAGCCTTGGAAAAAAATGATGGGCTTGGAGCTTTACACAAACTTGCAAACTTGTCACTGTCTGCCGCAAGATTGAGCAACAACATTTGGAGTGGACGCGAGCGACAACAATTTAAAAAAATTGTGCGACATTAGAGCCTCGCTGCTGCTTTAAGTGGAGCCGGAGTTGCGGGATTGAGCGAAGGAATTAGAAGCGAATGTAAACTGCATCAATTAGAAGGATTAACACAACATCATGACAGTGCTATTGTTCTAGGTGGATTAGAAGCCGCCGGATCGAGCGAAGGAATTGAGACCAGACTCTAGCGGAAGCATTTGAAAGGAATAGTGTGATATTCAGATTATTGGAACAAATGGAAGCATGTGAGATTCAATAAAATAATCAGGAGCAGATTCGAGTAATGACATCTGTAAGGAATTGTACGACATCAGGAGGTTTGGAATAAGCGAAAACAGGAGAAACAATACGTGTGATGCAGTGCAGGAAAATGTTGATTCAAATGATTTTGTCTTGGAATAGGAAACCATGGTGGATGGAAACCCGACAAAGGATTGCATTGAAGTGTGCTAGTGGTTTTTGTTGTTGCAGCCTTCCGGATGAAAGACGATTTAGGAGTAATGATGGGAACAAGATAGGTGGAGAAGAGTAGGTGAGTTTGTAAGACATTGATTTTGACACTGTAAAGCTTTTCATGAGGGAGGCAAGATGGTGGCTCTTCGCAGTGGCCCTAGTTTGTGCAAGATCTGGGGTTTTGTGGATCCATCAAAGGTGGTTGTTATCTTGGAGTGGCCAATACTTAAGACCTTCCAGGTGTTGAGGTTCGTGAAGGATTGTAATTCAATTATGTGGGCCTTTGATAGAGAAGTTGAAAGAATACTTTCAGTGGGGGAAAGTGGCGACCCATGCTTTTGAGAAGGTAAAGAAGGCCATGATGAGTATATCATGCAGGTCTTACTTAATTTCAGCTAACCTTTCGTTGTAGAGACATGATTCAGGCTATAGATTAGTCACAATCCTTAGGCAGTGTCAACGATCTATCATTTATTTCAATCAAGTGCTGACGATGAGAACTAAACTCAAGTTAGTTATGAGTGGGAGCCCTCACGACTTGATCCAACAATATGATATGTTTTTTTTTTTCACCTGGAGGACAATATGTCATATTAAGAGTGGAGTAATATTATACCGGTGACTACGGATTGCTCGGTATAAATAGGTATTAATAGGTTAGGAATAGGGCATGATGAGATTTTTATGTTTAGTTTTAGGGTTAGGGTTCGGGAGAGATTAGGGGTGTAAATAAGCGGAGTCGGCTCGTGATTTGGCTCAAGCTCGGCTTGTTGACAAGCTCACGAGCCGAGCTTATCGAGCCACGAGCTTGAGCACAAATATGGGCTCATTTATTAAAAAAAACTCAAGTTTGAGCTCCTCCAGATTTGGCTCGTTAGCTCGTGAGTTGGCTTGATTAGCTTACCGCTAATCATTTCGATGCATTTTAGGTGAGCTGCCGCAACATTCTTCTTCTTCAGCCACCAATACCTTCTTCGGAGAGCTCCCATAAAAAAAAAATGAATTTTTAGTTGCTCAAATTTTGATAAACGAGCAGAGCTCGAGTTTGGCATGCCTCGAGCTTGACTTGACTCGTTTACACCTGTAGAAGAGACACCTATAGGGCTTAAGGTTGGGGTTTGGGAGAGATTGCCTACATCTTAAATTATAGTTATTCATCTTTACGTGCTCGGATTGTGTTATTTTGTGCTATTGAAGAAAATATTTGTTTGCCGTATTTTTCATGAAAATTTGTCTCCAATTGAGATTAAATTTGTTTCAAAGCAATTTAGTCTTTTATTAGTTATTATTTATGCAAGATTTTGACAAAGTTCAAGACCATGGTAAGGGCAATTCAAGATGCAGGGTTGAGATTCTGGATTGAGTTGCATAGCATGGAAGATACACGTGATATGAAGTTGAAAAAGATTACGACAATCGATGAGCTACTCAAGGAGTTGTTTGAGACTGCAATATTTTCCAAGATTGACTTGAAGTTAGGGTACCAATAGGTTCGAATTTTGTCGAAAGATGTCTCAAGACTGCATTTCAATCTCATGAGGGTCATTACGAAATTCTAGTTAAATAGAAATGATTGTCAGATAATGATGCCATGTGGGAGCCATACAACTTGACCTAACAAAAGTTTTTTTTTCCTACCTTGAGGACAATGCTCTTTTTAGGGAGGGCGGTATTGTTATGTTGGTGCCTAAGGGTAATTATTTCTTTTATTTGCTATTATTGTGGGGGTACAAATGTCTTATTATGCTTAGGGTTAGGGTATGCATGAGATTGTTGTCTTGAGTTTTATGATTAGAATTTTAGGAGAGGTCGCCTGTCTTTTGGATTGTAGGTGTTAGGGTTAGGATTTGGAAGAGATTACCTACCTCTCAAATTGTAGGTGCTTATCTTTATGTATTTGAGTGGTGTTGTTCTGTGCTATTGAAATAAAATATTTGGTTACCCTAATTTCTTTGAAAAATAGTCTTGATTGGTATCAACTACCCAAAGATTTCACGCTTATTTTGTGAGGACTTTTTGATATGGGGCTTGAGACTTCCCATAGGTGCAATAGGTGCAAACCCGTATGATTATTTTTTTCCCTAATAATAAGAGATTTCTTTCGATTAAGGATAATCATTTAACATTGAATATTTAACATATTATTATCAGCAGACTTTGATTTTAGATTTTATGATTTACCATTATAAGCATAAAGTGAATGGTGGGGTAAATGATGATGAACTTGATCATGATCCCATGATTATGTTATCTCGGGTCACATAGTCCTTGATGTGATTAGTCAGAGGAGGTACTCTACCAAACCTGATTAAATGATTCTTATTAGCAATCATATGTTTCGTCATTCAAAAGACCCTTTTAGATCTGGGGTGAAAGTTTATTTAAGGGAGGTTTTATGTAAATTAAATGTACCCTTATAGTTTACAACTCAGAGTAAAAAATTTTTGGGGAACATACGTTTAATAATGACGCCATTTAGTGGCAACCGCCCAGTCAGAGGGCTATAATCGTAATTGATATTTTTATGGAGTTGCTGGGCTAAATCAAGTAGACAGAAGACTTGAGTCACGTCTTTACTGCTTAAGATTGCTTTAAATGTGAATATAGTGATATACTCGATATGACATTTAATTTTTGTTAGCTGAAGTAAAAAAAAAATTATCACCCTAAATAAACTATTGCTTCGGGTGGATGAATTTTTCTTTTCGACCTAAGTGATTGATTTTAACTTAAATATTTTGATTTGTTTGTTTGAAGCCTTTAGGTGAGTGATTTTAATTTTAGTGTTTTGGTTAGTTATTTTGAGAATTTGATTTGAAAATTAATTTAAAAGTTGACTCTCTAGTAGAGATTTTCAGTCAACATGATCATTATTGGGATTTGATTGCTTGATTTGAACCCTATAGATTTTGTCTTTCTTGTAAAAGACCAAACTTAACACTGGCTCATGATTTTATATGAATTTGTTAACTTTGTCTTGCTTACAATTGATCATATTCATATTTTTATTGTTTGAATTTATATAAATAGATTTTGAAAGTTAATTTTGAAAATAGAATCATCTAAATGAAATTTTTAATCAACTCGACTATCATTGAAGATTTGAACATTTTAAACACAGATGCTTGAAATTTATTTGAAATTTGTTACTTGAATATCTATACAATATCAGTTTTGTCGACTTCAGCTCTTGTGAGGAGGATTTGACTTGGTGATTTGAACTTGTAAATTCTTATGTGTGATTTGACCTTTATTGAAACGTACTAGAATCGTCAACTTCGGTCTTTAGGAAAAGGCTAATTAGACTAGTTAAGTGAGTCTTACAACTCTGCCCTATAGACGGGTCAGCGCGATTGATACCGTGCATAGCTTGATTATCTCGAGTTTGTTTTTTTAAATTATGAGAGTTATTTATTGTTTAATAATCATTGATTTTTTAAAAGAGCTTTGCACGATTCTCAAAATAGAAACTATTTTAGTGAGCATTTAACCTCAACCCGCACAACATTCCCAGACTTTTTAAGTTTAGGTATTTAGTCAATTTGGCGAGCACATGCGGTTTATTTTAGACAACTTTGCATGACTTGCGGCAGTTTACATGATTTTAAAGCATGAATTGAATCAATAATTATTTTAAAAATCACATACAAGACATGAAGTTATATAAACTTGACTTATTTGAATGAATATATTGATGAAGTTATAGGCGAATTATTCAATCTTTCATAAATCCTATATAAATCCCATGTGCATTTGACTTTTCTTTTGAAATGTTTTGATTTATAATTTGAGTGATTATTTTGTCCCTTTGTAATTTATATATTTTTATGTCATTTCGAAGTCCAAACAGTCCAAGTTTTAAATCATTTATGTTCACATATTAAATTATTTTGCATGTTCAAAGTGTTCAAATGAAAGTAATTTTCATGTCCAAAATAATCAGAAATTTCAGCAAACTCCAGACGTCATCCCCGCTTAGGGGGCTGCATCGGGAGTGCCTAACCTGCTCTTTTGTTTATAAGATGTGTTGGTTAGTGTTGCAATATATTGCGGCCATAGAGGTCTTCTAACTCACTCGTTTATAAAATTCGTATGAACCTTCGATTAACCTGCATGAAAAGTGATTTAAGCGCAATTTCCTGTTTTTATACATTTGTTTGTGAAGCGGCCACCATGACGCTGAAACAAGATTGGCGGGCCGATGAATTATCTTTATATATCTATATATAAATAGATAAAAGGTTTTTTGTTGATTAGGGCTTTCAGCTTGCTCAAGTGCAGGCTAAACATGAAGAGTTGGGGAGTTGAATTCAAACAAGCAAGGCAGGGCTGAAGTTGCTCTCGGGTTCAGCCTGGGTACTCAAAACGATAGAGCAGAGAGAAGAAAGCAATAATGTTTCCAGAGATCGTGTGAGCTGAGGGAGGCGAGAAATTTGTGAATTTCAGAACTCTTTGTATGTTTTGACTCCTGGTTGCTCTTCTTGCTGGCTTTAGTCTCAACTATATCGCGGTGGAGATGTTCAAGAGAGAGAGATGGGAGTTTTGAAGGTCACTGTACACAGCAATCACTTCTTTGGTTTCCCAGCCAGCCCTAGTTGAAAGTGTAAGACCAGTGATGTAGGTGAACAGGGAGATGGGAGGCTTTGACAAGAGCTTATGGCATCGGCTTCAGTTTTGGTTCTTACAAACACCGAGAGAGATCAGGTAGGAGTTTGTGGCTGGGAGACTCGGGCGGGCTCAGACGTGGATTTTGCGAACGACTCGATTTTCGTCTGCGATTCTTTATGATAGAGAGGAAGAAATGGATAGGGAGGCTTTGCGTGGCCTTTCTGTGTGCAAAGGGGCGTCATGTAGCGATTATTGGTGCCAATTGGGAAAGATGGAGAGACAAAGGGTTGGGTTTCTTTGCCCCATCGTGCGAGACAGAGGGAGACTTGGGCCTCGATTCAAATAGGAAGGGGTGAGTGTGAGGGGCCCTTCGATTTTAGAAGGAATGGGGAGTTGTAGGAAATGTCGTGAATTTTTGCGGGCTTAGGCATATGGAAAGATAGTTATAGGTTTTAAATTTATTTTGTTTCTTCTTATCTTCAAATTTTTTTTGGTTCGTGCTACAGTGACTAAGAAAATACTGAAAATTAGGCTGAATGAGCTGGGATTGAGAGAATTTTGATTTTTTTAATTAATCATTTTTATGAGGGTATGAGGGTAGAAAAGACTTTCCCTGGCCAGTTTTTCGGGTCAACTTTTTGGTCATTTTAGCACGTCTCTGTTTTTATACTATTTTGCTATTTCTGAGAAATGATAGTCAATTGAAAATGAACTTGGAGGTATGGTTTTGAGAGGCGTCTTTTGGAGTTATTGAATGGAAGCTAGTTACTTCCTTGGTCATCTAATTTTCTAAGGAAGTGGCTGCATTTTGTTATGTAAATTTTGGCACAATCAATCCAAAAGCCGTTTTCCTTCAATAATAAAATGTTGAATAATTGAATGCCATCCGTAAATATTTAAAAATAATCAAACCACTTCTGTCACATCTAACAGAATTTACACAAATTAATTTGTTTATTCAAATTCTGAATGAGCACTGAAATTTAAAATTCACATATCTGATCAGATCACCTTCACATGAAAAATTCAAAGGAAATCAAATGAGCAGTACATAATGACAAAAATTTCAACAGATGTACTGCTGAAGCAATACCTTTAAGTGATTATAATCAGTTATTTATATAAATTTATTGTTATTCTGTTGCTCGCTTCTTTTCTTCAAGTGCAACATTTTTAACGAAGTGCAGAAGTACTATATAATTTCTATTGGCGTGAAACCCCTCTTTTATCTCTTTCTTTAGTCTCTTTCACTATGTATTCATAATCATCTCAAGCCCTGCGTTTCTTTTGAAATAAACAAACTTATTACTAAAGGTCTAATGATATACAACTGATACTACGGAGACTGCAGCTACTGGATTGACTTTAGGGGTTGTTTCTGCTGATTTCAGATTCAAACCCATTTCAATGCCGACCCATATAAAAATATGATGTGGAACTGCTTTAAGATTTAAGAATTAGTTGAAAATTTTTCTTCATATCCTGCCTCACCCCCTTTCCAAAAAAAAAAATCTCCTCTCTATTTGTGAATATAATTTAACTCTTTTGTAATTCCTTGCTTGTTTTCCTCGCTGAGAAAATAAATTCTCTTTTACTGTGCAGGTGGGAGAACCAATAGAATGGGGAAGTTCCTGGAAGCAAACACTTTTCTTGCTACTCGAAGATGTTCCTATTGATCTTCGTTCGTATATTGTTTCCATATCTATAGATGCTACTTCAGCAACAACGATTATAATTGACAGGTGGATGCCTCTTTTTTGATATCTTTTCCAAATCTTATTTCCCACAATTTCTGTGTTGGTGTAGATTGGCATACATTAAACACCCTGTAAGTGTGAATTCAAATTTGTAACTACAGCAATACAGGGGAGTTACTCTGCAGACCCTATCTTTATAATGAAAGCCTTCCAGATGCTTTGCCATTTGTTCGTTCTATTGCTCCCAAAAACCACACTGTCTGCTCTGGGTCATCTACACTATGTAAGGTCGTGTCATGGTGGAATTCATATGGTTCAAACAAATCCTCTGCCTTATTGATGCATCAGTCTGACTGGTTACTGTGGCTTCTTCATGGAAAGCTTGGCGTAACTGACTACAACAACGCTTTGAAGGTCTGTAGTTATATTATCCATTTTATTTTTTTGATTTATTTTTTGACATATGATGATACTAACAATCTCTTGTTAGATTTACTTGAACTTTCAATGTCTTATTCTTTCCGTATGTATTAGTAACTTTGATTATGATAGGTTGGATATGATCTGGAGGCTGACTCCTATCCTAAGTGGTTGCTCTCTCAACCATTTTCAGTTCTATTACCTTCTGTCAAAGCACCGGGAACACCAATTGGTTGTTTAAAGGAGGACATCAGATTGCAATTCGGCAAGTCTTCCTTCCATATCATGTAGAGAGTAAGATAATGATTTGATGATATCTACATTTTCTATAAAAACTCAAGCAGTTTTGACATGATTGAAGTCATGCATGTACAAACTAGAATTTTCAGCTCTAATATTACTCAAATAGTGCAGGAGGTTTCCTTGGACCTACTCCCAGTAGTTGTGATAAGTCTAATAATGACAACGTTGATCCTGGGTATAATTATGTCGTTTATCTTCTTAGTTGATTTTTAATATTGATTCATTCTTCTGTATTTATAGCAGATATTCCTTGCATAAGTGTTGAAAGAATTATTATAATTGGTATATTGTCTACGCTGTTTTAGCAATTATGAACTACCTAGATTGGGAACTCCACATGTTAGCTTCGAGGATCAAATTGTTTGACCGCATAACTATTTGCCTAATTTTCTTTCACCACCACGTTTGTCATGTGGGACTACAACTAATATTCATTAAATACTTTGTGAAACTGTTTCCTTTTGTCATTGCACTGATCTACATGCATTTTTTTAAAGTTTTTTTTTTTTTATATTGTGATGATATTATCAGACTTTATGTGAACACAAAATCTAACTAATAAATATGAAAGAAGCAATATAAAATGACTATGTTTTTTGGGTTTAACGCACTCTCACGTTTCGTTTGATCATGCCCGTCAATATTAAGTGGCAAGGTGTTTTGGTTCTGTTGTAAAAAAAAAAAATTTTTCCCCTTTGTTGCTCAGATTTGATGTAATCTGTGACCTTAGTAGTTTGTGGGTGCCCAATCAGTATATTTAGCTCTGAACTAACTGCTTTGATTCTAAGGTGTTACACTTGCCATTTGTTAATCCAAAGTGGCTGGTTAGTCTCCAGTTCGAACATTTTGCTTCCACTTAAATTAAATAGACTCAGCACAATTCAGAGTTTCGGATAAGGTACCATTCCAGACAGGGCTTTTAACCTAAAAGATGACTGCAACTTGTTTGTAAGGGCATTACACACCATTTGGCTTGCCGTTACTGACCTCATCAATCTAAATTATCAGAACTGGTTAAAATTCCGGTTAAAACAATGCCTTTTCCCTTCTCATCCAGGCAGCAGAATGTGCTTTAACCTCTAGTTATGCTCTTAATCGCAGGTTTTTCCAAGAATTGCATTGTCTGCGCTGGAACAACTGATAGTATTGCAGCTTTTCTTGCAGCACGTGCTACCAAACCAGGGCAAGCTGTGAGTTTCAAAGAGATATTTGTAACTGAATTGTTGAGAGAATACCACAATTTTGCTTTACTGTGACTAGGTATTTTATTTATCATTTATTTATTTATTTATTAGTATTATTATCATTGGTTTACTTTGACTAGGTTACATCACTGGGTTCAACCTTAGCCATCAAGCTCTTAAGTACCTCCCGAGTTGAAGATTCACGATACGGTGTATATAGTCATCGCTTTGATGATAAGTGGCTAGTAGGTGGTGCCTCGAATACTGGAGGATCTGTTCTTCATCAATTTTTCACAGATAGGCAATTGGAACTGCTAAGCAAGGAAATTAACCCTTTGGTACCTTCTTCTTTGGACTACTATCCTTTAGCATCAAAGGGGGAACGGTTTCCTGTTGCAGACCTAGACATGATGCCCAGGTATCAAAATAGTCATCTACCATATCATGCATAGGGAATTAAGATTCTCATTGTGGGCAGGCATCCTTAAATTTTTTTTTATAAATTGGTAAAATGATATTTATTTATCATTTGATTGGTTAGAAATAAGTATGGATTTAAAATATCACATTCATTAAATTTAATGGCTTTTAGCATGCATAAAATGAAAAAAAAATGATTATTTTTTTTTTCTCATTTTCAATCTACAAGACTTTTAAGTTTGTTAGGTTATTGATTGTGCTTTTTATTCTACTTTTGTATTGCCGAAGAATGGTCATTTAAAAATAAAACAACATTACAATTATCCACTTAAAATTAAGTAAACTAGTAATCGTCTCAAAAGTTTCATTTGGGTAACATGGACTTCAAAGCATTGATGTTGCACAAAAAGATATGTTGAAATGGTGTTAACTCATGCAGAACTTGGATACAAATGAGTTTAGAATTAGCATTTGAAGAGCTCATCCCAAATAATAAGTAGAAAGAATGGGGCTAATATTGATGATGAAGATGATAGGTTTTGAAACTTTCAATTTAGTGATTTGGCCGGACAACTTTAAGCCACAACTTGCATTGCATGGTACAAGGCCTTAAAATTAAAATGAATATTTTGAAAAACATTGAAACTGAGATGGGACTTTAAAAACATTGAAACTGAGATGGGACTTTGGGAAAGATAGTTTTGTGTAATTTGCTCACAAACTATTTATTTAATATTTTTTTCTATTTTTTCATAAGATTGAACCCACGGCCTCAAAGTGATGCAGAATACTTGCACGGGCTTTTTGAATCCATTGCTAGGATAGAGGTACCAGGAACTCAAATGTTACATTTTTTTTTAAAGTTCTTTTAATGATGGTAATGTTGATCTTTCTTATGTGTGATCAACCCTTGCTTGTGCGCAGGTTAAGGGCTATAGATTGCTGAAGGAGCTTGGGGCCACACAAGTGGAGGAAGTGTTCACAGCAGGTGGAGGAGCAAAGAATGAGCAGTGGAGAAAGATTAGGGTGCGACTCCTGGACTTGCCGGTGCACTGTGCATTGCAGACTGAAGCTTCATATGGTGCTGCACTCCTTGCAATGAAGGGTGCTGGTCAGAGTATCTGAACATCCTGTGAAACTGTAAGCATATTGATATAATTTTTATTGGTAATGAAAAGCAATGACCTAACATTTACTAATGCTGAATGAGTGTTTCTCACATTAAAGGGTGTGTATTAAAAGAATCAAACTGAGAAAGAGCAGAAGGAATGATTATTGGTCTAGAATGAGGATTTACAGGATTTTTCTCTCTTTTAACTGTCTCTCTCATTACAAAAAAAAAAAAAAAAATTGAAGTGAGAGAAGAGCAGAAGGGATGATTATTAAATATGCTCTCAAGATGGGGATGCCTTATCGGTTCATTTCATAGACCGGAAATTAACTCTTTAATTGTTCATAGAAATTTAAAGATACCCGAGTGCAATTCGGTTCACATTTGTTGACTTCTGAAGGGAACAATGACCATTTAGCTATTTTTGTTTCGTTGAAGATTTCTTGAAGTAAAGAATGATCCTTTATCTATTTATGTATGGTTGAATGATTTGTCGAATGGCGTGATAGCACCCACATCATTCAACGTTCTAGTCTGAACTATTATTTATGGCATGCACCGTCTTTTTTAGGATAGCAATGTTTCTCACACCCATAAATTTGTCATTTTTCATTATATTGTGTCATATGATATGCCATTTATTAACTGATTATAATTTAAGAGCTGGACTAAGCTAGTATAATATGTTTAAGACATGGCATACAATTGGTATTAGACTTATGTTCTATAAATCTATGTTTAGAAATAAATGATTTGCGCTTTCATGAGAATGCCGTGTTGACCAAACTGCGAGGTAACTTAAATTGTGGTGGGATAAAATCATTCCTTTTTCAGTTAAAATCACTGAACTGCTTTGGTTCATTAAAGCTCAGAATTAACACAAAGTAGAGTAAAAATGCAAATATAGCTATCAATGCTACTGTTCTTGATCAGATTTTTAAAATCAATAACACAACCCTTAGCTATGAGGCCCCTCATATTCCGAGATGTATTGAAAGGGGTGGACAAAAATAGAGGGGGGATTGGAGTTGGATTTGTTGGGTTTAGAGACTTGGCATGTGAAGAATCATAATATCTACAACCTTCTTGAATTTTTTCAATATGGGTTTTGGGAAGTTGAAGCCTGGAAGTCAGTAGGGGTTTGGCTAATCCCAATAGAGAGATTGCTGTATCTTAAAAGTGAAGAGTGACCTGCTACTTCGATAGAGGACAATGGGGTTGTCCTAATTTAAGGATGAGGTGTGGGAATTACTTGCAATGATACGAGAGAAGCGAAGAGGAGATGCTTTCAAGCACAAATGGAAGAATAGTTTGGAGGTTAAGGTGGAATTTGATGTGGATGAGTAAACACGGCCCTTAATTTTTTGACGTACGGTGCTTTACTGTATCTTCTTGCTGACATGATTTGAGCTTCAAATCATAAAGATCTTGGGAGATTCTATTTTCATGAAGGTTAATTTGATTACTATTAAACAACCAAATAGATTTCAAGCTTGCTAGAAATGCAAAACAAACCTTTCTCATCCCAACAACATAGCGAATATCATATAAATTTGATCCAAATTGGAATTTATAAAATGTCTTTCTTGGTTGATTGAAAATCTTACAACAATTTCTTGAAGACGAGGGCATTCCAATGATGAAACATGATCCAACGTTCCAAACCATGTCATAATCTTCAACATAAGTGAGCTTAAAATGGAATAAAACCTCAAATATAGCACAAAATTTCTACATTATCTCACCATCATATGAAGAGAATCATATAATTCTTTTTTCTATAAAATTCACCAATGTTTTTGTTTGTCTTTGATCGGGCTTCAATTTTCTTTAGGCTTTTGGAGTTGGTGTTTATTTACATTCGAAATTTGTTGGCTCTATTTCTTTGCTCCCTTACCGTTTCAAATATTATCTTTGTGCTGTTGGCCATTTTGTGGAGTATTACTTTTTTGTTGTAATTTTTTGTGGTTGGTTTTTCCTTTGATTGCGATAATTGGTTGGATGTGGATGAATCTTGTTATGTTATTAGCAAAGCTACTCTTTAATTGTTTGGTTCTGATTAGGGGTTTTTTGGTTTGCGGAAAAAGGAATGCGGTGCAAAAATAGTTTATTGTATTCAGAATACTTCGAAGTTATTTGGTTCAATAAAAAATAAATTTAGGATAACATTTTTTTAGTTCGATTTAAAGAAAAGAAAATGTGTATAAAGTATGCAGCCAACGAGAAATAGCGGCGAGTGGTGGCTGACGGCCGATGGCGGGTGATTCTTGATTGGATGACATGTTGTAGACATTGATAGGAGTAGTTGATAGTGGCGTACAACACTTTACATAAAGTGATGTGTTTGGAATTTGCTCAAATCCAATGAATTCTAAATACATTGAAAATGAATTAGAGAATAAATTCAAAATGTATTGTAAATTTATATTGCAGTAAGAATTCATTTACCAAACACCAAACTTTTTTTTTTTAATTTTTACAAAAGATATGCAATGCACTCCTTTTACAACAAACCAAACATTATCTTAGAGTTTTGTCTATACTAATTGATATTTGCACTAACTTTGAGTTCCTCCATTTTTATTTATTTTATTCTCTCTTTTTTTATTTTGGACGAGTTATTGGTTCTTTTGTTTGTAATAGGTTTATTTTGTGCTAGAAAATTCATGGCATTAGAGTGATTATTTAACGATTTAGCATTGCACGAAGAAACTACAGTTGTAAGATATAATATTAGTAGTTGGGCACAAATGTCGTAGTTGGTTGTTGTATAGGCAATAGTTGACCACAAAGGTCGTGATTCGAAGTTGCAATATCATCAGTTGGCCTTAGAGGCCGTAATTGGTGACCGTAGTAATGTAAGTTGGCCATTGCAGTTAAAAGCTATAATAGTAATAGTGAGTTACATAGACTATAGTCGGTGGTTGCATTAGAGGTAGTTGATCACAGAGTTCGAGTATGAAGCCGTAACTATAGTAGTTAGCAACATATGTCTTAGTTGATTGTTGCATAGGCAATAGTTGGTCACAAATGTTGTGATTGGAAGCCACAATATTGTCAGTTGACTATAAAGACCATAGTTTCTGATTGCAATACCGTCAGTTGGTCATAGATGTTGTAGTTGAAAGCTGTAACAGTAATAGTTCATAGATATCACGATAGCGACAATTGACCATGGATGTCATAGTTGGAAGCGTAATAGTAATTAACAACAAAAGACATGGTGACTATAATATTCATCAGGAGCCTCTAATTGATCTTAAAGCTATCAAAGGAAAATCGATTGAGGTCACCTTGGAAACGCTTAGAGCTGACATTAAACAACTTTCTGAAGAGCAATGTGAGGACATTGATGATGAAGAATATGATCTGCCAGACTATATGGAGGAAGAGTTTGCTGAGATCAACATTGTTGAGACCAGAGCTTTGTCATCTCTACAAGATGCCCCATCAATTGTTGAAGAGGACGCTGCTGAGATGCTACAGAGAGTCATTCAACATAAGGACGAGCAAATCAATCGCATGGAGAAAACGATGGAAGAGATTATGACCTTTATAACGACTCAATAGAGTCAGCCTTAGTCTCAAAAAATAACCCTTGCAAAGGAAAATTAGCCGGAGATCATTCAAATTGTAGACGAGAAGAATGAATTCACCTCGATACCAAAAAAGGACATTAAGCAGATGGTAGAACAACTGGTGAGCGAAGTCCTGAGTGACAGAAGGGAACACTATCCGTAGCAGTTCTATGCTGTGAAATATCCCAAGGGTTTCATACCACTATTGTTCAAAACCTTCGATGAAATAGATAACCCCTGACAGCATGTTGCACACTTTCGACTAAGTTGTTGCAACGTGGGGGGTGATGAAGCATTATTGTTCCCTCATTTCATGAGCAGTCTCTCAGGACTTGCGTTTGATTGGCATGCGGAGTTAACCAACGGCTTGATAAAGACGCTCACAGAACTAGAAAGCCTGTTTGTTAAGAGTTTCGTTGGAGGTGATCTTATGGTAGAGTGACAAAGACCGACAGAAACATTGGACTACTTTTTATGATGAAGAAATCTAAGCATGAAATGTGAGGCACAACTCCAAGAACAACATGCGATGGTAATTTTGCTGAAAAACATCCACGATCCAACGACTTTCTTACTCAAGGGATTTACAATCAAGATCTTCGAGAAGCTACTCAGTAAAGCTTGAAGTTTACAAGAAGAAGCAAAACAACTTGGATTCCTAGAAAGAGCTAAAAAACCAAAGTCGGTAAAAGCATTTGAAAAGTAGTTTGGAATAGTGACAGCGGTAGAGAGAGGCGTAAGCAACCAATGCAGATCCAAGTTGAGCAGCCTTGGCAGACTTATCAGAACAGTATAGTCAACAATCATTCCAGCAAAGGCCCTACCAGATGGATGGAATGCAAAACTCGACCATGACCGATCAATTGAACATGTATACTCTTTCAAGGTTGAGGTCGTTGGGAAGATGTTCTGAAATTTGGTTAAGAAGCCTAAGTTCGGGTTGCCCGAGTCAAAGAAACTAGAAGAGGTAAGAAAAACCACCTCAAATACTGTCCATACCACATGTTGCTTGGACACACCATAGAAGATTGTTTCAGCTTCAAAGAATGGCTCGAGAGGAACTTCAAAAATGAGAACATAACGATCCCGAAAGAGTATTTGAAAAAACCTAAAAAGTGTTTCGTCAATATGATTTCTTCTTCTCCAATTTTTCCAATCGATCTCTATGCAACTAATAATGGATGGAGTATAGCTTGGACAAAATCCTCTAAGAAGACATTGAACCGAATTCATACTGCTTCGGTGCAAGCTTCCATTCAAAGTTTAGAACCTGTTAAGCCAACACTATCAATTGCAGCAGAGGAGCTACCTCAGGATCGAGCAAGAAAGATGGACGAAGAAACAAAGACTGACGATTCGAAGAGAGTAGGGGCTGATCTCATAGATTGATTGTTTCAGATTTGGGGCAGAAATCCATCAAACCGTTGAATCTGTATGATTATTTATTTGTCCTTTCAGAATCGTATATTGCTAAGAGTTATGATTCCAGCGATGTTTTGACCGTCTCTAGTGATAACATATTTGATAACAACCGAGTTAACTCGAATTTCAATTCCTATGACAATTCTCAAATAATACAAGACCCGATCGTGTTCGCCAATATATATATGAGAAAGACGTTAACAACAGGAGCTATGACAATATTTATGCAGGATTTTAAATAGGCTTTAAAGCTAAAATTAACCTATTTTTAAGCAGAATTTTAAGTAGGATTTAAGCAAGATTTATGCAGGGTTTAGGGTTTAGTAAATCTGGGACGAGCGAAGAGGAAGAATGGCGCGAACAAGCTTACCTTCCTTAATGATTTTTGATAGGAGCGAAGCGGAAGGCTGAGAAAGATGGGAGTTTCAGTGGTCTCTGCGAGCAAATCAATCGCATGGAGAAAACGATGGAAGAGATTATGACCTTTATAACGACTCAATAGAGTCAGCCTTAGTCTCAAAAAATAACC